TATTGGTAAACTAATATCTATAAAATTTTGAAAATATTTTTACACACCACATAAACTTTTATTGGAAAGAAAATAGGCTTTGTATGGTATCCACTGTAGATGACATTGTCTGATGTGCCATGCTACATACAAATAATTTAGTGTAGTGTGGGCCATCTGTTCAGTTTTGCATGCAGGTTTTTCTCTGTGGACTTTTCTTGAAAAATATTTTAGCACAAAGGTTATTTGCTTTGTGACTTTTCAGGAAAAGTGTTTGTTTCAAACAAGGTAATTACAAAGTAAACTGTACTACGACATTGACAAAAAACAATTTCATGCTTATGGTGAACTTTTTCTTGGTGATATTCAGTGCTGGGTGGCAGTAGTCACACTTGCACAGGAGTGCTGGGTGGGCAGAAGGAGTTCTGGGCAGCCTCACCCACTGTAACTACAACCATGAGCATATACACTGAAAACTTACATGTTAATCCAGGGTTCTTTGGGTTTTTATTTTTAAATCTTTGAATTATTTTATGATGAGGCATTATTTTTCATTGAAAATTTTTTAATCTTTTAGTGTAATGTTGCTCACATTTATGGATGAAAAAAATAATATCTGTAGAATTGTGGAAAATGAAGAGAAGCACCTTTTTATTATAGATACTAAATTTGTCTTGAAATAAAACTTTTATATAAGTAATAACAAGTTTCAAAAGAAATGGTATTTAAACTGAGTTAAGATACAGTTTCCTGCACCAAGATATTTAGGCATGAGTCTCGAAATTATGACAGTTTTGGAAATGGATGGAACAGTTTGCAATTTTCGTATCTTCAATACTAAAGAATTATCTCATAATGATACAGCTGTTATGTTTTCTAAGCAAGCAGAAATGGAAAATGATGTACATATGTGTTTATGTAATTTTTCTAAACATTTTTGAGTCTTAGTATTATCTAGTGCTAATGTACAATGGGCAAAAAAAAATTACTGCCTGAATTGCATGGTGACAGAAATAAATATCAATTCATACATAAAAATGTATAGCATCTTAAAATTAAATGTTAGTGTTAATACATACATATACACATAATTTAAGAACAAGGACCTATTGGTCCATCTAAGCCAATCCACAAACCCAAAGCCAGCCTTTATTATTTAAATATTTATCAATCCTTTCTTTAAACTCCTTCAAGTTAATCGCATCTACCACATCTGTAAGCAGCTCACTCCTTAGGCCAACCACCCTGTTAGAAAAATAAAGCTGTCTTAGTTAAAAATAACTCCTACCCTAGTTTTGCCATTCTCACCATTAAGTACAAAAAAAAGATAATGCATCAATACTATCAACCCTCTTAACGATCTTAAACACCTCAGTTATATCCCTTCTAATTTTTGTTTTTCAAGAACAAACAGTTTCAGAGATCTTAACCTATCCTTGTATAACAACGTTTTCATTCCAAGTACCATTTATTAGCTCTGAACACTTTCCAACAATTTAATGTCCTTTCTAAGGTAAGGAGCCAACATAAGACTGAACACAGTACTCCAGATGTGGCCTAACCAATGACCTATACAATGGTATTATAACCTCTTCAGAGTTGTATTCAATATTTCTTTAGATACAACCAAAAATCCTTTTTGTCCTGACAATAGTAACAGCACACTGCTTCAATGGCTTAACAGACGGATCAACTAGAACAATAAGATCCTTTTCTTCCATAACACTGTTGAGGTTATTTCCATCAAAACTACACTCATAATACAAATTATGGTATTCCACATGCACTACTTTGCATTTAGTATAATTAAAAGCTATCTGCTATATATTTACTTAACTCACCAAATAAACCAAATTATTTTACAAAACAACAGTAACCTTCTAAACTTTAATATCATCAGCAAACAGTTTATTGACCATTCCTTTATCTATGTCATTGATGCAAAACAAAATGAGCAAAGATCCTAACAGTGAGCATCTATGTACTCCACTTGTGACATTAATCCAGTTTGACTAAACTCCATCTATAACAATCCTCTGCTTTCTTTCATTCAGCCAGTTTTCTATCCAATGACCCAAACTATCCCCTACGTCTACAGAGATAACTTTTTAACCAGCCTTTTATGGATAAATATTTCTAAACAATACACTCTGAATTTTTACATGACACACATTAAAAGTTATATCACATAACTCAAAGTCAAACTGTTATTTAATTCTTGACCTGCAGAAAATCAGTTTTGTTGTTTAAAAGTTAATCGCTTAATCTGTACTTTATCTTCAGATTTCATTGATGTGTCAATTTGCCCTTAAAATAATTTCCATATCAACAGAATAGCTATACTATTATTAATATTAGTATTACTAGAGTTGTAATTCTGGTACTAGTACTGTAGTAGGGATGATAAATATCATTTCTCATCACTTACTAGTTCTGTAGAGCCATTATTCGGGTATTAAGTTGTAACTTATAAATTATAATTTATAGCAATAATTGAAATGACAATCTTTTTTGAATCTAATTTCTTTAACTTAGTTAAGGCTTGAGAGGTGCATACACTTAAAACTGTGTATTAGTTAAATTAGTATTATAGTACTATTTTGTAAGGGGCTAGTATTATTAGTAAGATTAAGAATAATATTATAATGTTAGTACTACAACTTACAACAGTACAAGGTCTATAAAATAGTATACTATATATATTTGAAATTAACATACCATATACAAGAAAACTTTTATCTTTAAAAGTTTCTCACCATGTATAGAGTACAATAATTGTTAATCTATTTTTTAAAAAGTCTGCAATTTTAACCTTGTTTCATTGCCATGTTGTACGAAAATTTCACGCAACACAGTACCAAAACTAAATAACAAACTTCACATGCAATATAATTTCTTTAGCCTCCTTTATTATTTCACAGAAAACGCCCCCTGTTGATGTCGTTAACCTCTTTGAATGGGTAAATTTAATAAAACACATATTCATTAATTGTCTAAAATTATTGTATTTTGTATATTCCAGCTACGTTATAATAAATATATGGGTAAGACTTAGAACATAAAGAAAAATAAGATGGTAGAAAACTATACATCTCATCAAGACTACCCTTGTAAAAAAAACAATTATAATTCAGCTTATATGTATATATATATATACAACCCTTTACTTCCATATAGTTTTCCAACACAATTTTTAAAAAATTCTAACTAATCCTATTTACTTGTTTATTTTTAAACACAAAGCTATTAATGAAGAATGGATTATCTGTGATCTGTCCACCGCTGGTATCAAAACCCAATTTTCGCGTTATAATATTTCAGTCTTACCGCTGAGTCACAGAAGGGTCTTTTGAGATAAGGTATAAATCCAAAATTAATATCATTAAAAGAGGACAATGAAATTCTGCTGACGTGAATATTCGTTACATCAAAAGTTTCGTCAGTGATAAATAACACTCTTTTAGTTGTTTCGAGAAACACTGAAATATGATAAATATCAAACGTCAATGATTTTTAATGCTTGAAGACGACTTGAATGGGTAATGAAGAAAAACTTTAATACAAACTTAACATAACAACAAATGTACAACATTTCGACAAAGTTTTGTCATCATCAGGCAATGATTTTTGTAAAGTACAAAAGAGAGACAATGAAATAATGCTCTTTTTCGAGATCATAAAGTCGATAAAAGACAAATCAGAAATTATATTAATTGCTTTACTTAAAACAAAGATATAGGAGGCATATTAAAAGTGGGGGCCAAGGTTTATTTGACCGAGCGAAGCGAGGGGATGTGCGTCACAGATGCCCTCATTACGGACGAGGTCCAGGTCTCACCTTAGAGCCCTGGAAGCTTTTGGATTCTTGAATAAATTTTATGCATTCTACTGTTTTGCCTGAGAGCAAGTTTTCTAATTTTGATGAATTTTTACTAGGACAGATTGAAAGGTGGAGGAGTCCCCCCCCCCCCCCACCACACACACTTCCTACTCCACTGTAAAAATATATAGGCGCTACCATAATAAGTGTGCTGTACATTCAGGTAAACGTGAGTTAACTTTAGGGCAATGGGATGTATCTGTTTAATAACAGGAGAGTTCAACAAAATATTTATTATGAAATAGTCCTGAATAACTTCCTCTAAACTTATTATGCCGACAACATTTACATCTTAGGTAACTTTGAATTTACCAGAGCAGCTTGCGCTACCCTTGTGACTGGTCATTTTCTTTCAAACAAAGAAGAGTCCATAACCTTGAAATACTATCTGACCTACCACTGAAGAACACCGCTGTTTATATTCTTGCATAACATGTAACATTATAGCTATTTCGCCCATGGGCAGAACAGGTGTGACCTCAATAGAATGACAAGAACAAAGGCAGCTAGAACGACTTTCTTGATCATATATTACGTGAAAACTGCACCTTTTCGACAATAACTAATAAATTTAGAATAATAAAATGTTAGAATAAGAAGGTAAAAACGTGTGGTATGTTCATATAACTCAAACGAAGCGAAACTTGTGTAATTTCAGAAGATGATAAATTCTACATTGTAATAAAAACATTTTTACAACTCTTATCAGTATTTGTTTTAAATAAATTACATTTAACCTAGAAACAGAATTTATCAGAGCTGTTAAAGAAACTCTTTGTTATACATTCAAATACTTACATTACTTATACCTACTTTCGACTAGTGTCGTTTTTTAAAAACTTTGTATTTTGTTGTGATTTTGACTCGTGAATTCCTCATTAATAAACATTCAAATTAAAAAACTAAAAACATGGAATGACTTGGAATAGCTAACTAAGCTGTTAAAAAATTAATGGAAGGAAATTCTTATAAATGCGTAAATACAGTTTTTCTGTGTTTTTTTTTTTACACTTTCTAAGACCTTTTTTTTCTAAGCACTTACTTTTAGGTTCTTAAAACATTTTATACAATGTCCCTGTGGTACGTTTCTAACAGTTCTTAGATATCAATAACCCACCAAAGATATCCAACATTTACAATTCCGAATTATAATTTCCAAGCGGATATTAATGCAGTTATAAAAAGTGAAGTTTAAATGCCTGATATATGCAAATTACGTGATTGAGATTTCAAGAACAATGCCATTTTATAAAATTCAAAGAGATTCTCTCGTTTTCACAGCTTATTATAGAACTGATATATATATATATACTTCTCTGTTTAGTTCTAGAGTATGTCTTTAACATGGAAGCTAAGATACATAAGCTTAATAGGTTTACATTAAATTTTCAATAGTAATTATGCAATGCGCTTCAATTTAAAACTATTTTCTACTCGCTTTTCAAAGGCATTATTGAATAATTTATGGATTAAATACATTTTGAAATATAAATTCTAATGCCATGTGCTATGATGAATTTAATATAGACAATTACTTTTTTGTGAAGGAATGTTAAAATGGCATTTTATTTCCTTTTGTGCACTGAAAATAAACATTATTTAAGTTGGATTTTATTGATCGTCCCCTGCGGATTTACAATGCTAGAAACCGGGTTTCGATACTCGTGGTGGGCAGAGCACAGATAGACCACTGTATAGCTTTGTGCTTTACTACAAACAAACAAATAATTAATCGGCCATTTATTTAGACGTTGACATATTCTGAACACTTGTAGATGGGTGTTTTTTGTATTGTCTGAGAGGGATTTAATTAAAACTTATTTTCTTAATAACTACTTGTTATGTTTAAGAACGTTTGAAAATTGAGACGACTTCATGTTTACGTAAATATTTAGTAAACGTTGTATTCTTAGTGAGGCTTTCAATTATTCTTTAATCTGGCTTCCCATGCAAATTTACATTTGATGTGCAAAACTCGTATATCTTTCGATTTGAACCCAAAATACTGGGAGACACCAACTTCAAAAAGTCTTCTTGATATTTTCTAGGCAGCGAATTTTTTATCCTTGCTGTCTGAAAATGTATTATCTGCGCAGTAGTATTTGGAGACGAATATAAAGATTTTGAATGACAGGTAGGCGTGGCTTACCTATAATCAAAGATAGAAATTAGCATAGCCATAATGGATGTCTTCTGGTGATCCAGCTATCTTAATATTAATAACTTAAATTGTCACATACTATTCATATTTAGATCCAGATCAGGTATTATATTTGGATTGGTGGGTCTTCACAAATAGCATTTAATAATTATAGATTAATCAATTAATTCCCACAAGTATCTTCATGAATGATATTAGTATCCAGACTACTTGACTAACAAGAACCAAAGTGTTGTCAACATATGGTTCCTCGATCAAAGGTTTATGTTCTAACCACTTAATATAAAATTTATCAGATACGATTAACCAATAACATTTACTAATTATATTTCAGTCAGTTAACTAATAAATTAAGATATCTGTTGTGCAGAGAGAGCAGTCCATGTAGTCATGTATATGGGTTTTTCAATCCCATAAGGAAACCCATACCAAAGACATTTAGATCTACATACTCATGCACGATATAGATTTTTTTCATATTTTTAAAATAATGTTTTTTCATTATATTTTATATGAGGTATCAATGGTATAGACTCATTTAATAGGCGGTTTTTATGAGCCATTCTTATTTTATTCACAACACATTTCACAGCTGTTAGTATAGCTTCTAGATGATGATGATATTAACTTCCCATTTGGCTCTTGTCTTAGTAAAGCAACATTCTCTTATAATCACTCCAAACTGCTGAATTCTTATAAAGTATTTTATTTGAAAATTTAACTGTCGTTGTTATTATTTGTGAGCAAAGCCACACTGGGCTATCTGCTATGTTCACCAAGGGAATCGAACCCCGGATTTTAGAGTTGTAAGCCCGTAGACTTACCGCTGTTCAATCGAGGGACAATTTAGGTTTCAAATACACGAAAAGCTGGTGCGTAGAATGGAAAAAGAGGAAGAGAAAAGGATGAGTGAAAATAGTTCCAGATAAAAGACGTCTTTTGTGTGGTGGATGTTTTTAGCGAAAAAAATTTCAAGAAAGAAGACAGCATTAATCATGCTTTGAGCGATATACCTGACGAAGATTATAACTTTAAAAATTACAAATGTTGAACAAAAGTAGCTATTGTATATAAATAATATCTTATAAAAGAAAATTTCTGGTTTGACATTTATTTACAGACGAAGATGATAACTTTGAAAATTACGAATGTTGAGCAAAAGTAGCTATTGTATATAAATAATATCTTACAAAATAAAATTTCTGGTTTGACATTTATTTACAGGTCCTAGCTGTTAAAATCGAAACAAAAGAAAGCAAAGAAGGAAAAACCATTGGGAGAATCTAAACTGTTGGTATTTGAATAATTTTTGCCAACTATAAAAAAAAATTAGAGAAGATTATATAAAATGGACCAACATCCTATGAGCAACTTAGGTATGGCCCAATTCACGAATACATCATACGATTCAGAACAGGGTTAATAGATAAAGATGTAGATGACGAGCCAAAAGCTTTTTAAGAGGCTGTAAAAAAAGAAACAGTTGCTGGATCGAAATTTAATAGAATTATGATGCACTAGTTATGTAATAAATAAAATATGAAAACATACTCCTGAATGACTCATAAAAATATTAAATTCAATACGAGTATGTCATTGATAACTCATAAAAAGTAGAATAAATTCATTTAAAGTGTAATAAATATATGAAAACAAATCCTATATTGAGTATCTGTGTACATCTTGTACTTTGATGACCACTATTAACCCAAAGTGTCCCACCTCCTCGATTTTGATCCAACATAAACAATAGTTGAATGACTATACCAATGAATGATGCTTGAGGTATCAATATAGTTTTATATTTATCCAACAATTCTTGAGGTGTCTTAAGGATCAACTAGATCCTGTTTAGTTACTACAAACTTT